TCTCAGGAAGGAAGAAATAGAGAAAACACGTTTTTTTTGTTTCCGAGAGGCACGGCAAAACCATGCCTCTCGTGGTAGCAAAATCATGCCTCTTAGAAAGGAAGAAATAGAGAAAATGCATTTTTTTGTTTCCAAGAGGCACGGCCGTGCCTCTCACGGAAGAAAAAAAGAAGAGAAAAGTGGTTAGTTTTTGTTTTCGATTTCATTTTCGAGAGGCACGGCCGTGCCTCTCATGGAAGCAAAATCGTGCCTCTCCTAAAAGCAAAATCGTGCTTCTAACGGAAGGATAAAAAAAGAAAATACCTTTTTCCGTTTGTGAGAGGCACGACCTGACTCTCACGAAAGCAAATTTGTGCCTCTCATGGAATCAGAAAAAGATAAAATGCATCTTTTTATGTTTCCGTCGTGCCTCTCACCGAAGCAAAAACCGTGCCCTCTCGCGGAAGCAAAACCATGCCTCCCACGAAAGAAAAAAAACGAGAAAACTTCTAAGAGTCACGGTCGTGCCTCTTGCGGAAGCAGAACCGTGCCTATCACAGAAAGAAACAAACATGCAAAAATAAAAAAATAATCGATTTTCTTTTCAAAAGCTAAGAAAGATCGGTGGAAACCAAAAGGCCGAAGAAAACCCAAAAAACCGTCTAAAAAGCCACAAATGCGTCTAGAAAAATAAAAATAAATCCAGAGAAAGCACCAAGAGCGTGACACGTGCTGGCGGCTGAGAGCGCACCAAGTGATCATTGAGAGGCTCCCGAAGGAGCGCTCGTCAACTAGTTGCTCTCGCAGGGAGCTCTGGCGAACATGCCAACGCACAGCAACTCCCCTCCCGCGCGCCTCTCATGAGCCGACCCATAAGCGGGGTTGGGAGCCCCATTTTTATTCCGTATTTTTGTTTTTTATTTGTTTATTTGTTTTTATATTAAAAAAACAGAATATAAGAAAATTTCAAAATTTAAGGAAAAATGATTTTTGGGAAATGTTCCAGAAATCATAACATGCTCATGGTTTAAAAAAATATTCATGATTTATTTTTAAAAAATGTTCACGTATTGTAAAACCATTCATGGATTCACAACAATTTCAAAAATTTCAAAACAATGTTCGCTAATTCAAAATTTGATGAACTTTTCTCGAACTTGATGAACAAAAATTGTATTAAGAACATTGTTTTTTGAAAACATATTAATTTTTGATTCAATGAACATCTTTTGAAAAAATGATGAACAAATTTTAAATTTTACAAACATTTTTTGAAAAAACAAAATGAACAAATTTTGAATTTGACGAATATTTTTTGGAATTTGATGAAAGTTGTTGAATCAGATGAACAAAAAAGGTGAAATGTAAAGAAGAGAAGAGAGAAAATAAAAAAGAAAACAAAACAAAAAGGAAAACAGAAGTAAACAAAAAAAAGAGAAGAAAAACTGGAACAAAAGTTCTAGAACTTCCCAAAACCGGGCAGGATGCACGTGAAAATCTGGAATACTGGGCCGGCCCACTGTGCGACCGATTCAGAGAGTGAGGGGTACGATTAGAGAGGCTATCCTCGTACGTACGTATTCTCTGCTTTTTAATCTTTTGCCGGTTTTATTCTTTCAGTGGTTGTTCTATTAAAATACTTGTAAATTTTATTAAAAAATTCATGAATTTCAAAAAACATAAAGAGGAAAAAATGTTCGTGGATTTTTTTAAAGTCCATGATATTTTTCCTGAATTTTGAAATGTTCCCGGATCTCAAAAAACGATTCTTAATTTAAACAGGCGCTCGGTGAATATGATGATTGTACACTCCCCTCCGGGTGACTCCTTCGGCTGTGAGGTAGAGGGTGGGCTGGCCATGCTCTTTGACACAACAACGATCCGTAGATCGAGCGTTGGGTGCGAGTTGGATGGTGTGGCGCGTGACGGTGTGTTCGGTTCATGCAGTAAGAACGAAGCGAGAGAGGGAAAAGTTGGTGTCAGCAGCAGGGAGGGATAGAGGAGGTCGTGCACATCTCTTGCGCAAAGAGATATGCTTGGGAGAGGCTAGGGAGGCTAGGGGAGCTCGGTGCGGTCGCCACTCAGAAGTTTGCCGCGTTGGCTGCAGGTGGAAGGCAGATGTGCCCTTTTGGGCTGTGTTGGGATGAGCTTACACCGGTCTTTAACTTTTTATATTCTTTGTATTCATTTATTTGCTGCAAATTTGAATTTAATTAAAAATCCAAGCGAGCACCAAATCTTCTGGATATTTGTATGTGGCATCAATGGACCCTTCCAAGTGCACATAAAAAAATCAGGAATTTCGAGCTTATATTTCTATTTTATATGAATATAAACACAATTAAAATACAATATGGATTGATTTCAAAGCCCAAAAATAATTCCCTTAAAATTCCCAAAAGATTAGGATGGGGCCCACATGGTCACATATGAGCTTAGGCCTAAACCTTAGGGCGTAAGAAGGGCATTTGGGATTTATTATAAACAAAATTAGGGTTTTTACCCTTTTTAATTAACATGAGGCTTGAATTTCCCTCGATTTCAAATTTCCAAAAAAGGTAAATATGATGCCATGTTATGCTTAACTACCCTATTACATTACCATTAACTAGGGTTGTGCCAATTGTTCTTCGGAAATGTGATGTTTAACCTCTCCTGCTTTACGCCCTCATTGCTTTTCTCTACGGGTCAATAGATGAGAAGACCAGGGCCACATGGAGTATGGGTTCATTCATATCTGCATCTGTGAAATATCTAAAATTGAATTTCATATCTTCGTCATCTGAATCTGGAAGCTCAAGTCCGTCAACTTCGTAATTGTCATCTTTCTCAAGTTACTTCCATTTTCCTTCCCTTTTCTTCTCTTCATCGGTTTGACAGTTATCGTTGACCAAATCATCATCACCTTCCTTTAAGTCATAGTCACTATCCACTATTTCTGGCTCATAGTCAGAGTCAGAGGAGTCATCATCAGTCCCCTCCTCTAAATCATCTTGAACCTCTACGATTGCTCTGCCTCTGTTGGGCCATCTGCAAAACAGCATGCCCCAATGCTCTGATCTGGCCCAATGCTCATATCTGCACCACTGTCCTGCTTCTCCTCTCTTCTGCACTAAATAGGACTGATAATAGCGCAAGTGTGTAGCAGGGTTTTTAAAAAACATCATCCCATTCTGCATTGCGCAAATGCAGCTTGTGTCACTGTTCTTTGAGATCAACCGAAGCTCATCTTCATTTGTTTGACTACCAAGCAGTAGCAAATAGGTCTTTATTTTCACTTTGTGCTCATATCCCAAATCCTCAATGAGATCATCCAACATTTCCATACATGTTGTACTGCATTCACAGAAATCATAGTAAACCTTCTCCCCGTTCAGAATGACTTATTGCATCTGTGTCCTATGAAAAATCCCCCATGAACAAACTCCAAGTGAAATGATCAGTGCGTTGTACTGACTAAAATTCAGAGGAAACAACATGGTCGATTCAGTTGTAATAGAACCTCACAATTCCTCCTAAAGCGTAATTAAATTGGAACCAAACCAACAAAAAGCGTACAATAGACCAGAGATACATTGCAATGAACATAGCTGAGATTCTTAGGCGGAAAAGAACTAGGGCTATGGCCGTAATGGAGCTCACCGTACTCGGGAACATGCCCCTGTTCCTGCCGCCACTCACACAGCTGCAAGGCGATGTGGTCGCCCCCAACACACCATCATCCATCCTAGGATGTCTCGATTGGGCCTCTGATGACGGCGACTACCGTCTACCGCAGCCGAACCATGACTGTTGTGTACATTGCCTGCAAGTTGGAGGACCAGAGATGCATTTTACTCGCTCTGTAATGAACCTCAGTGTATCTTGATGATCTAGGTATTTTGCCTTCTCATAATAGTTGCTGTACTTTGTAAATGGATCGTTTTAAAGAATAGCACAAATTCTGCAAACAACGACCAAACAAAAAATTGGCTAACACACACAATCAAATTATGTAAGTTTGTGTAAACACTTTGTAAATACCAACATTTTCTGAGCACGTAACATTGCAATGCAAACTGCACACTGAACAGACATTGGCAAGGGTCACTCTGTATCTTCAACAGAAGAACCAACAGTGTATAAAGAATGTAAATATGAGTGAACATGTGATAAGTTCAATTTTCTGTAATACAACCGGATAGCTCATGGGCACAAGGTCTGATTCGTCCTTGCAGTAAATTACACAATGGTACAGGTACACTACATGGGATACACCAACAACGGGTGGTAAATAAAAACTTCTAGCAGAAACACCACAAACCAGATCTAACTTATTGCTGGCAACAAATCAAATTGTCTACTGATAAGTCTGATCTATATTAAGGGTTTGTAATCACAGATATGTAGTCACACTTGAGCAAAACCTGCAAGACATCATAACGAGGATTAAACAAGTATGCCGTGACAGCAATAACCAGATAAATACATTTTTGCTGAAGGGAAGAACTGAAAAATAAAAAAATGCTTCTTCCCGGCAAAAGAAAACAGTGTGATTAAGGTCGACTTATGTGGAGTTTATCAGTGTAATAGTTCGATATTCATAATAGCATAAGGCACATTCAGAAGGAATTAATGAAAATACTGATGAAAGTGAAAAGCACGAGGGCATTTTGTTTTCTCAAAGTAGTACTCACTTTTAAGTTAAATTTATCAGTGCAATTAGTAGTACTCACTCTGAACGAGTACCAACTAATAGCAGATGACTCATTCAGAAGATAGTTTTAGAATATAGTGAAAGCAAGAGGGGAGTTCGTCAACATGAGATATTTACAATAACTTGGGTTCAGAAATCTCATGTCAATTCCCACCCTGGATCTTATTGCTCAATTTCCCAAACAAAAAAGATGAATGGCTGTGCCACTTATGAAAATTGCCTAAAAACCATTACGAAAAAGAATGTAACGAAACATAAAAAGGAGAGAAGTTATACCTTGTATGAAATCATTCCATTTATCACCTTTGTGGTCCTTTATACTGTTCTATGTAGCCTGATATATAATAACATAATGTTATATAAAAATATACAAGTGTCATGACATACTCGTGATAGGGGGGACTATTTAGCTTTTAGCATAGAAACAAACATAATATTTAGCATTGAAATGCTACAAACAGAAGATAAAACAAGTACAATTAAACAATTACCTTGGCATATGGGGCAAAAATGGCTTTGACATCTTCAAACACCTCAGGAATTGGTTTTGCAGCATCGATCTGATCATACGCAAGTTGGGCAGTAAGTTTGAAAGTGGACAGATTCCAAAAAAGGGTAGTAAAGTGCATGAAAAAAAAACAGTCCTCAGTAACTCATTACAATCAAAAGAAAGACTGTTATCCCAGTATATTGTTCCTTCAGGATTCAGACTAACATGTTCCCTAAATGTTCAATTTATAACCCCCCCTGCATGCATGTGGAGATGCATTCTTTTGAGGTTCCCTCATTAGTCATTGTGGGAGTGCAGCAATACCTTCTTAACCTTGTCCTTCGCGTCATAGTACTCAATCACAGGCAAACTGGATTCAACAAAAACTTTGAATCTCTTCCTGATAGTCTCGATGTTGTCATCAACTCTACCCTGCAAAATAATACGAATTGTTGGAAACAGGAAAAGGGTGGTCTTGATAAGGATACATAGGCCAAACATAAGCACATATGTGAAGAATGAAACCTCATTGCGTCCCAGAAGACGTCTTTCCATCTCTTCCTCGGAACAATTGAAGAACAGCACAAATGCAGGCGAAATTTTTGTCTGAGAAAATGTGAAGCAATCAGCAATCTTGCAAAGTCATTTATACGTACATTATGATGGAAGACAAGAAGAAGCTGCTGAACTATTATGTGAGTTGGCACTGAAAAGTGAACGAACATCAATTTTGAAGTGCAAGGAGTAGACGAGCTTACAACATTCTCGAACGCAGCACGATTCTCTTCATTCCTTGGAAACCCGTCGATGAGGAACTTATCATTCTCATTCTTTATCATGGCTTGCTGCAAGAGCTTTATAGTCACCTCCGACGGAACAATCTTTCCCTCCTTTATCATGTTCTCAATCATAGTTCTGTAAAATGAAGTGTAAAAATAAACATAGGTGCATGCAAATGTTAAATAATAAATAGATTGACATGACAAATATAATTTTCATAAACAAATTGCTCTAGAGAAACTTATGAAAAAAACTAACATACCCATTCTCAGAGCCAGATTTAATCTCCGCGCGCAAAAGATCTCCAGCACTAAGATGGGTGAATCCAAAGTGTTCAACAATGTTGGAACACTGTGTGCCCTTTCCACTTCCAGGACCACCTGTGCGTAAATTCTTGGTCAGGTGCAGAAGAAAGTTTATTTATTTAGATACATGTAATGCTTGATAATATGTATTTGATGGTCAGACATTTATCAAAGAAAGTTTACCAAGAACAAATACTACTGTGACTTTCTTGTCACCCAACATGTTCTCAGCAACCACCTGCATGAAAAACAAAGTTTTAACCACAAGACAAACAGAGAATCATGAATAGAAAAATTTCTGTGAGACAAGGGAGTTTCATTTACTGACTATATACAAGAAGCGTTGCTCAAGGTGCCAGAATTATATTGGCAGTATGCTCAAGAATTCAAGTTCTTTGGACACGAGTCCAACAACAATAATGTTTATCTATTCCAAATTAAACTAAATGGTTAGATAGTACTCCCTCCATTCACAAATATAAGATGTTCTAACTTTTTTTCTGAAATGGATGTGTATGGAGACGTTTTAGTATGTTTGTTCATTCATTTCAATCTGTACGTAGTCCATATTGAAATATCCAAAACATCTTATATTTATGAACAGAAGTAGATGTAACACCGTGAGATTCGGGGCACCAACGCTTGTGTGAAAGAGTTAATAAATTGAAGAATGTCCGCTAATACTGAAAACACAAGGCATTGCACATCCTCAATGAAGAAGTGTGCCTTTGTAGCAACGAGTGCTTATCTAATATATCCAGGGAATGAGGAATGAAAAGTAATGCCATACACGTACCTCCTTCTCAGTCACAACTGCGGGAGCATCCACAACCGTGCCCATGGCTGAAAAATATTCGAATATTCAGTTTAGAAGTTCTAGTTATGCATCTCAAAATGAAAATAGAAGAAATACAACACGTAAAAACACCACTCTATATGGTGAAGATGAGTAGTGGCACTAACATTGTTTAAGGGCTGAGGACACTTTGGTTATATAAACCACTTGGAAAAATCAGGGAGTTTGATTCACTAATTAGTAATTACACAAACACACACATGAACATAACCTTAAACAGCATTGCACTGATTAAGTAGACTCCCGAATTACTTGTACAGGATCACAATCAGTATTCTCATTTCCAACCAAGAAAACTACGTGCAAGTTTCCGAGCTCATTACCCGAAAATTACTCGTGACCCATGCCTAGCAATCCGGAGAGATACAAAGGCAGGATCACACAGTGTTCTAGAAAAGGATATTTCTTCTCCTTCCACCTAACCAAGGCATATTCGCTGTTATGCTTACAAACATACGGGTCAATTTCCAATGAGCTAGACAAACATAAGGATCACAATTATAACCCGATTTAAACTTAGATCTCCCTTGATTTCCCGCCGCTTACAGCTAACATAAACAAAGATCAGAAGAAGCAGATCACCCACCGCTAATACTATTTCAACTTTTCTCTATTTTGATTGGGACAGCATAGATCATCCACCTCTCTAAACTCCCAGTGCAATGATCCCTAGATCCAGCTGCAGGCGCGCAACCCTAGGATCCCTCCTCGTCAGATCTGCATCCCGGACTGCCGCCGGACCCAACCATTCCGGCCGGGAGGCGGAATCCCTTCCCTCAACCCCCGGATCACGCGGACTACAGCCAGCCCGAAAACCCGCCACGGGACAACATTCGAGACGCACTCCAGGTGATAACAACAGCAGGCTAGCGCGCGAGCAACGCCGACAGATCTCGCAACAGGGCGGCCGGGATCTCACGTACCTCCGCGCCGCCGGACGAGCTGGGCTCCGAATCGAATGCCGGTGGAGGGGTCGGCGCGGCGGCGAGACCACGGCGAGCGATCACAGGGTGGGGGGGCGCGTGGTGCGTGCTGCGGTGTTGGTCTGTGGCGTTGGTGCGAGAGGAGCGAGGCGGAGGAGGAGGCCGTTTAATACGCGCGCGGCGCGCGGCCAGGTGGAGGGGGAGGTGGTGGGGTCGTGGGGGATGGGTCCCACGCGGGGTCTCCGCGGGAAGCGTGGCGTTTGGCCGGTGGGGACACCGACCGGGCCGGAGGTGTCGGCGCAACGGGTGGAGCGGGCGTGGGCTGGAAAGCTTCGAGGAAGCGGAGCGGGAGAGAAGTCGGCTCGTGCCCGGAAGCGGGGAGGGGCGAACGTCACATGGAAATTGACGGAAATCACGCCGAAATGTTTTTAAGTTTTGATTGATGAAAAAAATCTTTAAAAATACAGGATGTTTATGTGGTGATGTTCCGTTGGCATGTGAAAATTCAAGTTCAAACACATTACGGCGTGTGAGCTATAAAAAAACAAAATCAACATTGAATGGTGTCGAACAGTAGCTGTAGCGACCCGACCTTGACTCAGACGGTCAAGTCTCTGTGCTTAAGTGTCATCCCTGGATCGGTATGCTGACACACACAGTACTCGAGGATTTATAACAGAGGTAAATCACACGTATAAAGTAAAGTAAATACTATTACCTCAATCCATATAGCGGAAGTAACAATAAGGTTGTGGATTCCCATCAACACCAACGGCAAAGTTGAGTGTAAAAATCGTAACCCTAACGTATCACCTACTCGTCGTAACATTCCTGCAACATGAGACATTGCAACCATGTAATTCAGTACATTGAATGTACTGGCAAATTCACACCATAGGATAATGATGAATAATATCTATCACTACATGCATATTTGGCTAGTGGAGGCTCTAAGGTTATATTTGCAGAAAGCTAGTTTTTCCCTACAACAAAGGAATATATTTTATTTAACTACCAAGTTGGTAGAAAAATATTGAGAAGGTTCCTCCAACTCAATCCCGATTAAACAATATTAACCCAACAAATTAAATTAAGAGTGATGAGATCAACACGATAATCCAAATACCAGAGACTCAAAATGTCCATAACCGGGGACATGGCTGATCATGATTAGTTTGTATACTCTGCGAGGTTTGCGCACTTTTTCTCACAAGACTCGATCTCCTTCGTTGGATTTCTCGCACTTCATGATGTTTGAGAAACGGATGACCGAGACACAGTCTTTCAGAAGCATTAACTCTTTACTCTGTGGTAGACAGTACCACCTACATCCCACTACATCTGCTAGCCTACCACTGAAAGAGGTCACACAACTTACTCAACTATGCCAGAGCCCATAATGGCTTGTGGCTGCACACGGGAGTTTCTAGCATGAATAAGCTTATGATCCCTTTGAGCCTGGGTGACATTCACTAGGGTGATCACACAGGTACTCCGGGATCCCCTTGGGCAAGCATTGGGTTCTCCAGGTGCCCGGGCAAACCACTGGGTGCTCCAGGGTGCCCCAATCAATCCACTCAGATGTGTATTAAAGTAGTCACCTTAAGTTAAACCTTAGTTCTTAATAACTCTCTCACATCTTTCATGAATTCTCTCAAAACCAAACCACGTCTACGAGCATAGCATAGCAGTAAGCATAACTTAGAAGTAACTTCCAAGGTTTGAATGCAGGACAATAGGTTCCTACCTCATCAACTACTTCCCAATACCCACATGTTATCAATTCCTAACCATGCAATGTTTGAGGATTGAAACTAATGCATAAAAACAGGGTATTAAAGGGATATGATCAAAGTGTGAACTTGCCTTGTACTGTTGATGAAGATGATTCACACTCATAACTCCTGATAAATCTACTCATCACACTCCGGTCAATCTATCGTAAGCAAGCAATTGCATACATAAGCACTCATGCAAAAGAATCGAAGAAAGATCTCGGAAAACTTCGAAAACAAGCGATTAACTCTTGCAACAGAAAACAATTTCTAACAGTATCAAAATTAAGTGAATTTGGCCTTATCAGAAAGTTTAGGTCATGAGCTTCGATTTGCAAAAAGAATCATCTCAAACGGAGTTATAAAACTCAAGTTACGATCAAACGAAGTTCAAATACAAATCTATTTCAAATCAAATTTTAAACTTTCAAAAATATGTTTAAGTTGTTTTACCATATAGAGGGGGTCATAACGAAGAAGTGGGCGTTGGTTTCATCTAATTCCGACTAACGAACAAAAAGTAGTGATTGTTTTAAGATTAGGGACTAATCTGTAAAAACTTTAATTGTGAAAAGGTCCCTGACTAATTAAAACAGAAAAAGAAAAAAAAACTAAATAACGAACGTTCGCTAAACAGATCTAACCTAATGAATGCGTTCGCTACAGAACCCTAAATAGCGAACGTCCACTAGATAACTAACTGATTGGTTTTTTTAGAGAAAATCGAAAGAGAAAACCGAAAATAAATTGTAACCTAAAATAAAACCGGACCGGGGTGGTTTTTACCGGTTCGGGTAGGGTCGGGTCCGGCGGCTTCCCGCGACGGCGAGCGTCGGCGAGGGCGGCGTAGTGGCGAGGCGCGACGGCTGCGGTTCGGCGGCGCGGCGGAGTGCGGCGGCGACGACGCGGGCGACGTGGGGCAGCGGCGGTGAGCGCAAGCGGCAGCGGCACGGATCGGGCGGCGGCGGAGTGGCTGCAGCAGCGGCGACAGCGAAGTCCAGCGATGGCGGCGGTTCTAGCGAGATGCGAGGCGAGGCGAGGGGAGAGGGGAAAGGCCGAGGCGAGCTATTTATGGAGGGGCGGCCTCGGGAGGCGTGGGAGAGGGGCAAGGGAGAGGCGGCGCGAGGAGTCCGCGGCGGGGATGGCGTCCATGGCGGCGGCGGACTCCCGAGCGGAGTCCCGCTCGGGGACGGTGGCGACGGGCGAGCTGGCGTGGGCTGGGCCGTGGCCTGGCCTGGGAGCTGGGCCGGCCCAGTTAGTGGGGAAGGTTTTTTTACATTTTTTCAGAGAACAAGAATAAAAATAAACAAAAATATATATATAGGCATATTATATACCCGAATTTTCAGGAATTTTTTCTATAACGTGAACATTTTTCTAGTGTCAAATAAAATCCTCAAAAATTTAAATAAAGCAATGAGTGCTACAGCTGCAATAAAACCCAATAAAAATCATTTTAAAAATACCAAAATGATTTCAAATTTAGTTCTCTCCAATTTTTTGATGTAGGGAATCATTTTACCCTATTTTCCATATATTTTATTTTTGGAGAAAAATAATTTGAATAAAAACCAAATAACCTCAAATTGAAAAATAATTCCAATGGGACTTAGAATTTAATTCTTTTAAAACTTCCAACTCATATTTCATACGTTTTGAAGAAGTAATTTTATCTTCTCTCATGAAAATTATTGAGTTGCTTAAAGTTTCTGAATTTGAAATATTTCCAAATGAGATTCAAATATTTTCATAACCCTTTTCATTTTAAATGGAAGAACTCATGTCATCTACTCTCTAGGGTTTTGTATCTGAAAAGAATTTGAATTCATGGAGATCAGAAAGCAAAGGTGAAAGTTTGGGAAAGTCATTTCATTCCCTCTCATTATTCTTTCAAAGAGTTTCAAACTTCACTCAATTTCACTCAAGCAATCATACAATCAATCAAAACTATCTATTTACTATAACATTCCAAAATTTAGAATTTTGGGATGTTACAGTAGCATCATTGTTCATCGTTCGGCATGAGTGGTGAGCTATCTCAAAAACAAAAAACAAAACAATGAACATAACTATTCATGTTGAATTTGTTTTTTTATAACTTGCATCCCGTGTTGGTTTCAACTTGGAACTTCGCATGGTAGTAGAACATCACCTTCTTAACATCTTGTATTTTTTAAGATGTTTTCAAATATTTTAAGCGTGGTTTTCATGAAGTTTCCTTCGAATGTTGGTTTCCATGTGATATTCTCCCAACGGGGAGAGTTGGAGTTGTGCAAATTCACAAGAA